GTATTCTATTTATTTTATTTTTTTTTTTTGTCTTTTTGAGGCTGGGTTTTGCTATGCAGTTCAGGCTTTTGTTTGTTTGCTTTTTTTGTTTGTCCTGCCTCAGCTTCCCAAATGCTGGGATTACATGTGTGCACCACCATTCCTGGCTCATTCATTTTTTTTTCTGGTGTAGAATTTAATTTTAATTTAATGTTTTATTGGTAAATTTTAGATATACATAATGATCGTATGCATCATAAGAAAGTTGCGCCTGTACATGTTTGTTTGTTTGTTTTGTCTTTTTTGAGACAGGGTCTCCCTATGCAGTTCAGGCTGGCTTTGAGCTCACTTTGTAGCCCAGGCTGGTCTCAAACTCACAATGATCCTCCTGCCTCAGCCTCCTGAGTGCTGGGATTACAGGCGTGCACCAACCTGTACATGATATAACTTGCTACTTCTATTTTTCCCATTCCTCTCCCCTCCCTTCAACCCCTCTTTTTCCCTGTTTTTACAAAAGCTTTGTTTCCATTTTTCTTCTATTCCTTTTTTTCTTCGTTCATTTTAAACCAATACAGCAGCCTAGTGTGGTGGCGCATGCTATAATTAGCACTTTGGAGGCTGAAGCAAGAGGATCACTGTGAGTTTGAGATCAGTCAGGGCTGCACAGTGGGTTTAAGGCCAGTCTGGGCTACCATACAGACTCTGTTTCAAAAAAAATTCCCCATAAACAACAAAAAAGAAAACAACAGAGAAGACTTGCTACAGATCTAGTCTCTGGAGTCAGAGCATCGGGAGAAGATTCTGGCCCCAGCCAAGCACGATGATGCACACCTGTAACATCAGTACTCAGGAGGCTGAGGCAGGAGGATCACCATGAGGTCAAGATCAGCCTGGGCTGCATCGTGAGTTCAAGATTAGCCTGAATTACATAGAGAAACCCTATCTCAAAAACAAAAACAAGACAAACAAAACAAAACAACCCCCCCCCAGAAAATCAAGCTATCATGAACTCAAGCAGTATTTACTATTCATTAATGACAGACGATGCATTGCTGCTGTGTATTATCACTGTGTTCTGATCCCAGCACTCTGGGCGCTGGGAATAGCAATGACACGGAGCAATCCCTGCTCCTGGAACGCTCTAGGGAGGGAGAGTGACAGCACACAGGATCAAAGCAATGTAGTGTTTGTCATAGTGTGAGCATGCAGAAGGCCAAAGGACAGCGTGGAAGTGGACAGGAGGCTGAGGCTGGAGGAGCCCTGCATTCGAAATGGAGCTGTTGGAGAAGGCTGCCCTGCGTGACCCTGAGCAAAACCGCAAGGAGAGCAGAACAGGGGTGTACACCTGTAACCTCAGCGCTGAGGGCTGAGGCAGGAAGGCCCCAATTCCAAGCCAGCCTGGCCTACATAGTAGGACAGTGTCTCAAAAACAACCCAAAGGATATGGGGGGCAGCCATGTGGATCTGGGGCTGCATGGGTATCTGGGAGCACAGCCTGTGGGCAGAGGGCCAAGGCCAAGAGAGGACTGTGCCTCCTTCAAGGAGAGGCAGAGGCGGGGCTGGGGAAGGGAGCGCAGGACGGGTCAGATCTGACAGATACGGTGGACTATGGGGAGGCTGCGGTGGCGGCGGTGGGGGAGGTGATGGATACCAGAAGGCTCTGGCCTTCATGCACCCTGGGGAGTTATTGGAGGAGTCCAAGCCAAAGGGTGGCTTCAGCTGCCCTGTGCTCAAAGGCCCTGGGGCCACCATGAGGAGTTGGACAGTGGGCCAAACAGGAGTGGTAGGAGGTCAGCGAGGGATCAGAGGGGAAGGAGACCAGCAAGGACTGGGCAGCAGAGCACGCGTGAGAAGGGCAGAGGCTCTGGGTGTCCACTGAGGGAAGAACTGAGGAGATCTGTCAGCAGATGGGATGTGGACTGGGTGAGAAAGAAGGGCACCGGGGCAATGCCAGGGGCAACGCCAGAGCTCTTGGCCTTGAGCACCTGGAGCACTGCATTGCTCTCTCCTGAGGCCGAGGGACTGGAGGACACTCATGTCTCAGAGGGCAGCAGGCATCAGTGGTGTGGTTTGGCCATGTCCATTGGGACGCCTCTGGGCACAGCTCCTGATATCCAGGTCTGGACCGCAGGCCTGGGCCGGAGACGTCACGGAGGCAGCTGTGAGTGGGCCCTGGCCTCCAGCCACGCAGGGAGGCAGACGGGCTCCTCCCTCAGTGCCCAGGCACTGGGCTGCGACCCAGGGGGCCTGCTGCAGCCTGTTTCCCAGCCACCCCACGCTTGCCCACGGGTGTCCCCACGGGTGTCCCCACGGGTGTCCCCACGGGTGTCCCCACAGCGCACTGTCCTCGGTGCCTGCGGCAGTGTCGGTAACAGCCGCACCTCTGCTATCTCGCTGTACTGGGCCAGGCGCTTCGGCCACGAGGCTTGGAGATCCCCAAGCCTGGTACCGGTTAACCCAGTCCGGTGTGAAGGCCAAGCAGGCCTCCCTCTCTCACCCGTTAGTCCGGAGAGGTCAAATGGGTGTTATCTCCTGTGCCAACCTGGTTAGTTAGGCTTGGATCTGGATAACACAGTTCTAATAACAAGTGTGTGAGCGTGGGGCACACACCTGTCACCCCAGAACTCGGGAGGCAGGGGCAGGAGGACTGCTGCAAGTTCCAGGCCAGCCTGAACTGCATAGTGAGACCCTGTCTCCAAAAACAAAAAGAAACAAAACAAAACAGCTTATTTTTATATTTGGATCGGTTGAATTCCAGACCTGATTTTTCCTATCTGCTTTCCCCAGAAAGGAGAGAAGGAAGCTAATGTCTTGAGTTTTGCACAAAGCCGCAAATACTCAGTGTCTCCTAAATTACATGTTCCAAGGCTCTCGGCCCTAGCTCTGCATGTTAGCTCTGTATCGCTGAAATGAACTACTTACGCGAGCTACTTAGGAGGAGGAGGTTTTACACCTCACAGTCTCAGAGGTTCAAGGCCCACGATCAAGCAGTGTCAGGGCTTTACGCCCGGACTCGCCCATCCGCACTCACCGCCACTGCTCAGGCGGAGGGCCTGTGCCCCTCGGGGACACTGTCCTTGCCACCGCCAGCGGGCCTGGAGTGTTTGCTGGAGCTGCTGGGAGCTGAACCACCCAAGCCAAGCCAAGGTGGACTCGCTCGCGCCTCCTCGGACCCTCCTGACGAGACATCCAGCCCCTTGCCCGGCTCCCTTTGCTCTCCTGCTTCCCCCAGAGTCAGCGCAGGGCGAGGGGCCCCAGAAGGGCTTGTGGCACCCACAGCACGAGCCCAGCAGACATCTCACCTCTTCAGTTTATTTATTCCACAAAGATTCACTGGACACTGATGATGAGCCTCGGGCCACACCTGGCGCTGGGTACAGGGCGGAAAGTGGCCCTTGGCCTGCAGAGTCTGCCGTCAGGCGGGTGGTATGAGCCAAGGAGCAAATACACAAGTGGGTGCACAAGGGCAAGCTCCCTGAGAACAGGTGGAACGGCAGGGACCTTTGGGATCGGATTACTACTCACGTACAGCGGTCAGGGAAGGGCTCCAGGGAGAGATAACACTGAAGCCAAGGCCTCAGGGTTCAAAGGCCTGAGCCATGGACACTGCAGGGAGGACTATTCTGTGAAGGGAACAGCATATTCCCGGGGAACAGTGTTGGAAAGCTGAGGAACTAAAGGCAAGCTGAGGGCAGATGTGGCAGTACAGGTTTGGGCCTGGAGGGAACTGAGGCTTGAAGCAGGGCTGGGAATAAAAGCAGAAGAGCTTGGGTTTTAGCTCTAGGATAACAGAGGAACAGAGAAAGGGTTTTAAGGAAAAGTGGGTATGATGCGATTCACAGCTTCAGATTCTCTGCGGTTGTTAAGAACCGACTGACAATGCTGGGCGCGGTGGCGCATGCCTGTAATCCCAGCACTTGGGAGGCTGAGGCAGGAGGGTTGCTGTGAGTTTGAGACCAGCTTGGGCTACATAGTGAGTTCAAGGCCAACCTGCACTGCAGAGTGAGACCCTGTCTTAAAGAAAAAAGAAGCGACTGACAAACAGGTGAAGCTAGGAGGGCTTGTGGAGGCGGGGCAGTGGTCTGGGGGGAAGAGATGTGGCCAGGTCAGCATGACTGTGGACTTGCGAGTGGATGGACTCCCTACACTTCTAAGCAGAATCTGCTGGGAGTTTCCAGAACTGAATCTTTATCGACTGTGACACCCTGCAGTGGGGTGCAGGGAGTCAGGGTACAGGAAGGTTCGAGAACAGAAACTGAGGACCCGAGTCCCCATCTCTGTGGATGCACACCCAGTCACCTTTCTGACAGCTCTCGGGAGAGCAAACCTGAGACCAACCAAGTGCTGAATGTGCCTGCCATTTCCAACTTCTTTCAGTGGGGTCGGCAGACAGTCTCAAAGCTGGGTACCACAGCATGGAAACGCACTTCCCACAGTCTCACTGGGCTCTCAGGCTAGGAGATCACAAAACAGCAGGGCCCCAGGGCACTCTGGGACTCGGGAGTGGCTGGAGAGCAGGGGGAGGTGAAGAGGGAGGGCCAGGAAGGGGAGGGGGCTGGGCGCCCCTTCCTGTCCTGAGTGTGCTCCTTCGTGAGAAAAGGGAGCCCAGTCTTTGCCTTCTGTCCTGTCCTCTGTCCCCTCTCCCACCTCCGGGAAGCCTGCATGCTGTGCTGCCCTCCCTTCCCCTCAGGGCAGCCCCTGCCCTGATCTGCTCTCTGCCTCGAGGCCTTCTTGCCTTGCTGTCGCCCGTTTCAGATGGGTCCACAGGACAGCAACCTGATCAAGCTGGCTCTCCTAAGAAAGGAAAGGTGTACTTACCTTTGTATCCTTTCCTGAGCAACTTGCTTTTTAAAAGAGCTTTCTGGATCACTCAAATAACCTCTGCCCTCTGCCCCACTTCTCTGAAAGGGCCCATTGGCCCAGGGTTTTTGCAAACTCTACTTTTGTGGCCCTGGTGCCTCCTTGCTATAGCCTCTGAGGAGGGCAGGTCCCATCAAAGGCTGGGGTCCAAGAGCCTTGGGTCAGAGACATGCAAAGTGTTTAATAACCAGTGTGGCATGAGCACTAACGAGCAGTCGGAGGGAGAACCCCAAAGCCTGGGGTCCCCCGGGCACAGCCAGACGGAGGTGGTCCTGGGAAAAATGCCCGGTGCCAGGGGTACTCGGCGGCCCTGGCGGGAGGCGGGGGCAGGTCTTCTCCAGTGAGCATGGAAACGTTTCTGCTCTTTTTCAACTAACGTGGCAGCCCTGAGGGTCACTCGGCCTCTGCTGCTCCACTGCGAATGGACACCAGGCCCTTTGTTCTTCCACTAGAGAACAGCCTACGGCAGAGCTGCGGCATGAAAGAGCCTCCGAGCAGAGCCAGTGTGCGGCCCCTGGGTGAGCAAGATCTCAGGCCTCGACCTTCTGTGTGAGCTTGAAGGCCCAGCGCCTCTGCGTGCTCTTCCTCCTGCCCCTCCTCACAGTTATTTCTGTCCCGCGTGACAGCCCTTGGCTGCGGCAGCAGTCTGGGCTCTGCAAGCCGACGCAAACCAGGCAGCTCCGACGGCTGGTGCTGAATCCCCAGAGGATGCTCTGCTCTGTGCAGCCCCCGGGGCGGGACCACACGCAGGGAAGATGGTGGCTGCCGGAGCTGGGTGCTCGCTTGCCCATCCCTGCCTCCTGCCTGGCAGTGCTCTTGTGGCCTGGCGGTCATGAAGGCATCCTGTCCCAGAATTCTGTGGTTGCCCAGAAACCTCCTGGCCTCCCTGGTGAAGCCAGCCTTGGGCAGAGGTGTCTGCTGGTCTGCAGGAGGGCGAGAGTCCTCGCCAGCAGGAGAGCAGAGGCAACCCCTGCCGGGCCCCAGCATCCAGGCTTTGGCTGCAGCGGAGAATGGGTCTGTCCTGTGCCTCACCATGATGAGGCGGCCAAAGCCAGGTGGGCAGGAGCAGGCAGGATGCCCAAGAAACCTGTGGGTGGCCCTTGCTCAGCTACCGTCTCCAGGACAGGAGGCAGCCTTCCTCTAGCCATGGGAGCTCCTATGCTACAGCTTCCACCCCACACCCAAGATCCATGCGTTCTGGGTGAGAAAGGGGTCTGGGCACGGCTCTGAGGGGCTCATGAGGCACCAGGACTCACCCACCGCTCAGGTGAGAAATGAGACCAGATCTCCGGGATCAGAGCAGCTCGAGGGGAGAGCAGCCAGGGGGACAGACCGGGTTAGCGGAGAGGAGGAGGAAGGGACCTCTGAAGGGGAAGAAGAGGCCTCCATAGAGCGAAAGCAGAAAAGGCAGTGGCAAGTTTTAGAGCTTCCTTGCTCCTGGGGGCTGGGAGAGGCAGCTCAGAAAGCACCAATTTCAGTGATTTCCGGGGCCCAGGAGCGGCACGGCACAGCTCCTGAAGGCCGCCCAGCTGGTGCTGCAGAAGACGGGCTGGAGACAGGAACAGCCGCAGTAGCCGGGCTCCCTATAGCACCAGGGGCTGTGGGGGAGCAGGACCGCAGCGGGGGAAGGAGGTGGCTGCCCTTGGAAGCCTTGCTGCCGGGGGCCACATGAAGAGGGGCAGCTGGCCTTTCCAAGGGGTGGGCCCTGTGGGTGGAAGATGCCCCTCGACCAGGCAGCAGACTCCTGCGTGTGGGCAGGACGCAGCTGGGGGCTCTGCGCACGGGTGTGGTCCGGAGGGCTGGGACGGGGTAAGCGAGAGGGCCGGCGCTGGGGACCACAGGGCTGGGCACTCTTCCCAGAATGGCGAGCTGGTTGCTCAGGGCTGGCAGCCCCGGGCAGCTGTGGAAGAAGCACCAGGGCCACACAGGCACGGCCAGGGGACTGGTGGGTACGGGCGAAGGCTCCATCTCAGCTGCGTAGCTGTTGAGGTGGGAGAGAAGGCGAATCCGGACAGGGTCTGCACGGCTACTGGGCCCTTCCAGGACCCCCAGGTACCTGATGACCTCCGTGAGGCACTCCCGGAAACCAATGCTCCGGAAGTCAACTGCGAGGGCTCGGGCATCCAAGAATCCTGCAAAGCAAGGCACCACGAGGGCATGCTGAGCTGGGACAAGCGCAGGGCCTGCGCCAGATGGCCTGCGTTCCAGACCCGTTCCTCCCACTCCCTCCCTCAGTGACCCTGGCTGTGTCCCTGTACCTCTCTGAGGCGCAGCCTTCCCATGTTTAAAATGGGAATAAAAATTCCTACCGGGGTGGAGGATAGTGAATTGTGAGGATCAAATGAGTTAACTAAACTATGAACTTGGAACTACAAAAAATATACAGTTTTTATCAGAGTGCATGATCAATGCAGAAAAGGAACCCAATGGCCAAGACAACTCATTAAGCAGACACTCGAGGCAAACAGGCTGGGCATATGAGGGGAGAATAAACCCCACCTGCTGATGGGAGCAGCCCCGGAGAGGGGCTTCCTAGCCACAAGAGCCTGAAGTCCCCTGGAGACAGTAGGGTTGTGTAGATGTGAAGCACAAGGTCTCCAGAAGCTGGGTTCAAATCCTGCCCTGCCGCTTAACTTGAGGCCTGACTGTGAACAAGTTTCCAAATCTCTCTATACCTCGGTTTACTTAGCTATGGAATGGGGAGATGATAGTACACGCTACAGAGTTGTGAGGGTGAAGTGAGGTAGTGCACATAAAATGCTCCATACATGAAGAGGGCGCTATCGCTGTCACTGCCTTGCCTTTTGTTGCACCTGGTTTTTCCGCCGGTTCCAAAGGCAGCCTAGGATGCAAGACTGCTCGCTGGTCCTCAGCTGCTGCCACCAGGCCAGCGCCCTCTCTTTGGCCTGATGTCAATGAGAGACCAGGTGGCTGTCACACCGGCACTGACACTCACAGCCCCTACGTGCCGGCTCCTCTCTAGACTGCTTCTGGGTGAACAGGCCCAGGCAGCAAAAATCGGTCCCTGGTTCAAGGCTGAGGTCCCCCAGCGGGACAGTTATCTTTGGAGTCAGGTCAACTTTCAGATGAGACCTGGCCCTGCTCTATACTTAGCTGTGCTACTGTGCATAAATGCCTTTACCTTTCAGTGTTTGCTACTTACTTTATTTTTTGTAATGGGGACTTAACCCGCAGTTTTTGCGCTGAGCTATATCCCCTCCACCCCTCCTTTTGAGACAGGGTCTTGCTATGTTGTTCAGTGTGGCCTTGAACTCACTATGTAGCTCAGGTTGGTCTTGAACTCATAATAATTCTCCTGCCTCATCCCCCCTGCCAGGGCTTGGATTACAGGCATGTGCTACCACACCCAGCTTTTTTTTTTATTTTGAGACAGGGTCTGGTTAAATTGGTAAGTTGCCCAAATGGTTGGTTTTAAACTTTTTATCCTCCTGCCTCAGCCTACCAGAGTGCTGGGATTACAGCTATGTGCTACCATATCCTGCTTGCTACTCTGTTTGAACAAACACTTGCTGAGTTTTTGCTAAGGACGTACTTCAATTGCATTATCTAATTTAATCTTCAAAAAAACCCTTTATTATTCCCATTTTTTTTTTTTTATTTTTGGCTTTTTAAGACAGAGTCTCACTATGTAGTTCAGGCTGGCCTTGAACTTGCAGCAGTCCTCCTGCCTCAGCCTCCTGAATGCTGGGATTACAGGTGTGCAGCAACATGACCAGCTATTCCCATTTTAGAGATAAGGAAACTGAGGAATAAAGGCTAAATCGTTTGTTTAAGGTCATAAAGTTAGTAGTGCTAGGATTCAAATCCATACTCTGTACACCTTTTAACCATAATTTCTTATCTTCCTATTAGTTCTGAGCCCGACAGTAGTGACAAGAGCAGCCTCACTTCCAGGTTCTTGTGGGAATCAAAGGACGTAACATAAGTGGAAGCACTTTGAAAGCTATAAAATGCTGCCCATACATTAACCCCTGCTTCTCACAGAGTAACCATGAATGTCATTTGAAACATGTGCCCCTCTGCATGCCTAGCCACAGAAGTCTCCTCAGCCAGTGATACACTGCTTTGGTGGAGGGTCTCCTAAGAGCGATCTGCGTCAAAGTCATCAGGCAGAGGAGCTGGGGATTTAGCTCAGCGGCCAAAAGCGCCTGCCCGGCAAGTGCAAGGTTGTGAGTTCGGTTCCCGGTACCAGAGAAAAACCAAAAAAAAAAAAAAAAAAAAAAAGTCATCAGGCAGGCTTGTCAAACTGCAGATGCCTAAACTCCAAGTCAGACCTGCTGCCTCAGAACCTGGGGGTGGGAGAGGTTGGTGGCCACAACTCTGCCTGCCCCCAGAGATACGTCTACATGCTAAGGCTTGAGAAACACCAGGTTGGGCCCCTTAAAATGCAACTGTCCTTTTCCATGGTAGAAAATTGTTTTGGGGACTTATAAGGGTGATCAAAAATACAGTGAAGCTGCTGAGCATGGTAGCACATGCCTGTAATCCCAGCACTAGGGAAGCTCAGGCAAGAGGATGGCTGTGAGTTTGAGGCCAGTCTGCACTATATAGCAAGACCCTGTCTCAAAACAAAAACAAAAACAAAAAACTGTTAAGCTGAATTTTTGTTTTGTTTTGTTTTTGAGGCAGGGCTTTGCATGTGCTTCAGGCCGGCCTTGAACTCACTATATAGCCCATGCTGGCCTCGAATTCACAGTGATCCTCCTGCCTCAGCCTCCTGAGTGCTGGGATTACAGGCGTGGGCCACCATGCTCAGTCTGAAATTGAAATTTTAAAAGTTTATTATAATAAATGACACACTGCCATTAATCTCCCTCAAAATACTCCCCCTTGCTTCAAACACACTCATCCCATCATTCTTGCTACTTTCTGGGGTAGCTGTGGAAGTCTTCTGTGTTTTTACAAGGTGTGATTAAAAAAAATACAGTGAATACTGCTGTTGTGTGCTATCCAGTGGAAAAGCAGGCTTATATAAACATTACAATGCATTCTTATCCATCTACCTTACTAACCAGATCTGGCGCTGTACGACTTCTGGCGCTCTAGCAAAGTCAAAATGACCATGCAAGGTAAATGTTTCGAATCATTTCAGGACACTGAGACAGCCATGAGAGCACAACTAAAAATACTTACAAAAAATGACTTCTAGAACTGCTTCACAAAATGGCAAGTGCCAAGTGTGGTGGCACATGCCTGTGATCCCAGCACTCAGGAGGCTGAGGCACAAGGGCTGCAGCAAGTTTGAGGCCAGCCTGGGGTATGTTGGGAGTCCAAGGGCAGCCTGAACTATACAGACAGACCCTGTTCCTCACCCCTCCAAAAAGTCACAGCAGTACATCTTTGTGACCACAGTCTGTGGAACTTTCAAGATTCCCCGACTATAACATCACCCAACACATACAGAAGCTTCAAGACAAATTTTCCATTTGTCTAGAAGTCTTTTTAAACTCATAATTCCATGATCTTGTTGAATTTTTTAATTTTTTATTTATTTTTATTTTCAAAAAAAATTTTTGAGACAGGATCTTGCTATGTGGTATAGGCTGGCCTTGAATTTATTTAGCCCAGTCTGGCCTCAAACTCAGGGCACTCCTCCTGCTTCAGCCTCCCGAGTGCTGGGCTTACAGGCATGTACCACCACAGTTGGCCAAAATCTCAAAATTTTAACGTAATCAACTAGTTTAGAATAATAGAATGATTATTATGATGGCGCATGCCTGTAATCCCAGCACTCAGGAGGCTGAGGCAGGAGAATCACTGGGAGTTCGAGGCCAGCCTGGGCTACATAGTGAACTCAAGGCCAGCCTCGGCTACACGGTGAGACTGTCTCAAAAAAAAGGATGAGTGACATTGTGTTCTACTCCAGTCCTATCTCCTGCCCCTAGCTCTGCCCTGCACACAGTAGCACAGAAGGCTAGGCCAATGGGTAGAGACACTAAAGGAATGTCAGTGACTTAAAATCCTGTGCAGGTCCCACCTTGGGCCCATGCAGGACATGGGCTGGGACGCCAGTGAGAATGAGCCCATTCAGCCTGCTCCTCACGAGGCCCTGGGGTAGCACATGGAACAGTCCGGCACACAGAAGTAGGTCTGAGGCTGGGAGGCGTTGAGTGGAGGAAGGGTTGGGGCCAGGGCCACACTCATAGTGGAGAGAGAGGATGAAAGCAGAGAGAGCCTGGCAAACGTTCACCTGGACCCGCTTCCACCCCCAGAGACCGTGAGCTCCCACAGGGCGGGGACCATGTGGGCCTTCCTTACCGTAGATCCCGGGACCCAGCCTTAAGATACTTATTGTATGAATGACCCCGGAGAGGAGCACCTGTACCTGTCCCACCAGTGGCGTGGAGCATTTTCAAGTGATCCACCGTCATCTGCAAGACCTCGGCTTTCTCCAGCTTGGACGAGCCCTGTGGGTACAGAGGCGGAGTGTGCAGCCTACAGCTCACCTCGTCACCCGTGGTCACAAGCCTCCCGTCCGGATCCTCGCCTGCTTCCCATCTGCCCAGCATCTCCAGATCTGAAATCACGCTCTGCTTCTCTTCTCAGTCCACCTGTGCACTGCACCTCTGCTCTTTCCCCTCAAACCACTTCTATGTGTTCCTTCTGGCTTGCCTCTTCCTCTTCCTTCAAAACAGTGCAGCCCAGCGCATGTCGCCCCCCTTTCTTCTTGCTCTGCGCACTCTCCGCAGAGGGTCTTGTCTACGCCCATGGCATCATCTCCGATCACGCACCCGCCTCCTGGACCAGCTGCCCCGGGAATCCGACTCCATCCTCAGCCTGCCCACGACCTAGTTCAGCATCTTGGCCCTGAAGTACATGCTCTTTCTGTATTTTTCTTAGGAAACGTTTCCTGAGCCTCCAGGACCACCTGGCCTCCCAGGGGAAACCTCAGAGCCACACTTTCCAGGTAAATCCCTTGAGGGTGGACAGCAGGTCCAGTCCATGGCTGACCCCGTGAGAGTTTCAGTAAACATTTGTGGAACGATCGACTTGCTCTCCCCAGTCTAAGGGAAGACAGACAACCGGGACCCTGGAGACAGAGGGTCAGAATCCTTGAGGCTGTCTGATTTAACCATTTGAGGGGGGTACCAGGAATCAAACTCAGGACCTTGCACTTGCCAGGCAGGCGCTTATGCCACTGAGCTATATCCCCAGCCCTGACTTAACCATTTGACTCCCCAGTGCAGTCTCCCCACCCCAACATATGCAACCACGGGGTGCCCACTCCCTGAGCATCCTGTTCCATTTTCAAATTGTTCTGGAAACATTAAGAGACATGTCACACTGTCCTGGGCCCCAATGGTGCTCTGCTAATTACTAGCTGTGCGCTTTAGTACAATTTATAGTACTTCTGTCTCTGTGTTTCATTTTCCTTGCCTGCGATAGGCAGAATCTGTCTCTATACTTCAGGACCATGTTTAGGATTCAGCTCAAATGGACACATGTGAGACATAAAGCCACCACACCTGAGACGGTATGAATTCCCATCCCCTTGGTCCCCTGGCCAGTGACAGATGTTTATAAATGTTCAAGGCACCTCAGCAGCCCCTGCCCATTAATCGGAGAGGCCATGAGAAACAAGCTGCATCTGCCCCCACTCAGGACCTCCTCTGGCACAGCTGGCAATACCTGCTTCTCAAAGGCGGAGGGCACCAAGTGCCGCAGTTCAGAAAGGCTGCTGTTGATGCGGTCTCGGCGCCGTTTCTCTATGATCTGAAAAACAATGACAGAAAGTTACACACAGGTACTTTGTCAGTTTCCAGCACGCCCTGTTGGACACTGACTTGCATTTTCCTGCATTATATTTTCTTCTTCTTTTTTTCTTTTTGGTACCGGGAATTGAACTCATGACCTCAGGCTTACCAGGCAAGCACTTATGCCACTGAGCTATATGCCTGGCCCCTATATTTTCTTACTTTAGGGAAAAATAAACTGAGGCTCAGAGAGGAACAAGTAATGTGTGTAAAGTCACACAGCAAGAAAGTGCAGAGCTGGAAGGTGCACTCAGATCTCTTGTCGTGGTCTGTAGGGATGATATTCAAAACGCCCAGCCACTGGTACAACTGGGCACCATCCAATCAGAATGGGGACAACAGCCACAGCGCCAGCATATGCCCAGGGGGCCCTTGCTGGTCCAGGGTTACCCCTTCAGCTGTGGGTCTGAGAGTCCTAGGCTCTCTAGGCTGCAGAGGCCTCTCACACCGCCTCCCCCCTCCCACTGCTGGTAGCACGTCTGTGGGGGGTCTGCCCAAGGCTCGTGGTGAGGCACAGCACCGCTGCGCTCTGCTGGTTGCTGGGTCTCTGGACTCTCAGTGTGCGAAGGGGAAAGGCAAGGCTGCATAAAATGCACAGCAGCAATCAGCTGGGCGTGGTGGCACAGGCCTGTAATCCCAGCATTCTGGGAGGCTGAGGCAGGAGGACTGAAAGTTTGAGCCCAGTTTGAGCAATTTAGTGACTCAATGAGACCTTGTCTCAAAGTAAAAAAAATTTCAAAAGGGCTGGGGATGTAGCTCAGTGTGAAAGTTCTGGGTTCAATCCACAGTAGAGTTCAAAAGGAAAAGGAAAAGATGGAGAGCAGTAAGCAGTGAGCCTTTCATCTGCCTCCCCTTCCTTAGACCAAAGCAAAGTTCTGAATTCAGAGAGGAGACAGAAGAGGGAGGACTGGAACAAAAGTAATACGGCTATTGTGTGTTGGGTTTTGCTCAGTGTTGCACTGATTCGCCAGCATGGGGTAGATTCAGTTATTACTCCAGTTACACCAAGAAGGAATCAAGCCTCAGACTGGTTAAGGGATTTGCCCCATCATCCAGACAGTCACTGGCAGTCGGGATTTGAACCCAGGCAGGTAGGCAGCTTGGGGCGAAGCTTCTGATCAGGTCTGGGCCAGGTCCAAGCGGACTCCAGCAAACCTGAGTTGGGCCACTCAAAGGCTAAAACGGACACTCACCCCTCTGCGTTTCTTCCTGGCTTGCATCTGCGAAGGGCTGGGAGTGGACAGCGGCCTGGCCATCTGGCTGGAGACGAAGAGAAAGGCTGGTTTCTCAGAGGTGGGGGCAACATCCCTGGCCCAGGCTGACCTGGGAGGCCGGGTGGAGGGAGGCACTGTCCCTGCAGCCCCGCGAGCTGGGCTGGGCAGCGCCCCAGGGCGGGTGTGAGAGGGGCACCTGCTCCCACCTTCTCCCCGGGGCCCCTTTCTCCACGGGCCACGTCCTCCCACCACCCCAGCCTCGCGGCGCCCGGGAGACCCCCCTGGGCCGGGACCTGACCTGCTCGCCTCGCCGCTGTTCCTCGCTGCGGTGGCGGCAGTCGGGCAACAGTGAACCGCTGCGCGCAGCCCTAGCCTCCTGCAACCCGATCCGGGGGGCGGGCGGCGGAGGGCACGGGCCGGGCCGGGCCAGGCGGCTTGGGTTTCACAGGGAGCCGCCGGGAAGGAGCGTGGAAAGAGCAGATGCCGCCGCTTCCCACGGGCCGGCGCGCCGCCCTCTCCCTCTCCCTCTCCCTCTCCCTCCACCCCGCCGGCCCGCAGCTGCCGCCTCCTCCCACGCTGCGCGGCGGGGGCACGGGGGCGGCATCGGGGTCACCGGCCCCTCTCGCACGCTCTGGGACCTGCTCCGGCCTCCCAGAAGGCCCGGCCTGTAACCTCGGCCTCCCTCCCATCCGGGCCCTTCCTCTGCATGTTAGCTCCCACCCAGGAGCCCCACTTCGGAGAAGAGGCTCAGTCTGGAGTTTCCGGCCCAGATTTTGACCAAAACAGTCTGCACCCTGACTGTTGGCCCCTTCAAGGGGGTGTTTGTTCCAGAGGTTCCCTCGGAACAGAGGTTTGCCAGGCAGCACTAAGGCACCCTTCTTGGGCCCAACCTTTGGGAAACCCTGTTTAGCCCCAGGGCCCCAGCCCTCGGGGTCCTGAGCTCCAACCACTGGACAAGATGCTTACCCTGTCATTTTGGATGCCAAAGGGCCCACATCTGAACAGGAACTCAGGACCTTGCCTGTAATCCCAGCTCCTGGATGCCCCGGATTCCCCGCCTCAGGGAAGGGACCCCAGCGTCCAGTTCTGCAAAGCAGAACCCTGGCACTGTCTTTGATTCTTCCTGTCCTCAGCCTCACGCATCAAAACCCGGCCACGTCTGAAATACTTCTCGTTTCTGTCCTTCTTATGTCCATAAGCCCTCTCAGGACCGTACTTCCCTGTCTCTCACCTGGCAGACTGCAGCAGCCTCGTGTTGGGTCCCTCTGCAGGCTGTGATCATTTAAATGCAAACCAGATCTTGTCATTCTTAAAACTCCTCAGTGGCTTCCCACCATCCTTCAGCTGGCCCTTCGCCTCTCAGACCCAAGTCTGTTCTGCACTGCACGCTCCAGCTTTTGAGTGCATCTCCTCCTTCCTGCATGCCTCACCCTGCTGCCCCCTCCAGATCTCAGGGGAGTGTACCTCCATCCACAGCCTTTTCTGATGGCTATCTTCCTGCTTGATGTCCCCTGCTCAAGACTCTCCTAGCCTTCTGCATTCACTACATTTATGCCAGTTTGTTATTTTGTACTCATATGATTATTTGATTAATGTCTATCTCTCCAACAAATCCATGAGGCCATGAACTGTGTCCATTTCATTCACTATCGTCCCAGTCCTTAGCAAGTGCTGAGGGTAGAGCATCCTCCTACCACTCTTACCTTTGGTATCACTAAAGAACACAGATGTAAACACCAAAAAAACAACATTCTAGACCTCTGTGGAATGGGGGCACATGTGGCTCACCAGGAGGCCCCAGCCTCTGTGAGTATCTTCTTGGCATCTGAGGTTGGATCCTTTTCATCAACACCTCAAGAAGAGAAGGTTGTAGGAGAGACCAGACTGCACTTACTGGATCTTACTGCTGTGCTCTGGCTTTGTCTGGCCACATCTGGAAAAGGCTATCTTCAACCCAAACATCTGGACAAGCAGAGCTGGCAAAAAAAAAAAAAAAACCTGGGAAAGCTCCCAGGAGGCAAGGCCCAGAGAGCTAGGCCCAGAGCTCAGACCGCCAGATCCTGAGATCTGTAGGGCAGCTTGTTTACAAAGCTCCCCTGGTTCACTGGGGACACGAAGAAACATAGCCTTTGTTTCCCACTGCTGGATAAAGCTCCTCTCGGGGTGTTGGGTTATCCGTGTGGACGTCACTGCTCTCAGCCTGATCCCTCCCCAGGGACCATCTGTCAGAGGCTGACACGCCCATGTCAGGGCAAGGCAGCTCTGCTCTCCTTTCTTCAGCCTCCTGCTCAGTTTTTTTCCGCAGCAGCATCTACCTCTCCCTTGTATCGCACAGGCAGCCCTCACTTTATAATTTTCTTTGCACCACTACATATGTTTCTCACCTTTGAGACTTATAAAGGTCCCATTTCGCAGATGAGGGTGCTGAGCCTCAGGGAGCTAACACAGCTTGCCTGACCCATGCAGCTGCTAAGGATCAGAGCCAGCATGGGAATCCATGTCTTCTGGCTCCCAATTCAGCATTGTTTCCCCTCCTAAGTCCTACTTCCTGCCTGTCTGAATAGTCCTCCAGTCCCCTTCTCCTCAAAGCTCCTAGCCAGAGCTCACTCCAGCCTGTGATCTGGCCCTGACCGTGGGAGGAGGGGTAGGAGCTTCTGCCCTGACAGTCTGAAAGTAAGGCAGATGTTCATGGACCAGAAAGGATACAGTGATCACCAAGACCTGCTCCACTCGCCTCTGTCAGGCCCTCAGCTGGAATTCCAGGGCAGTCTCTGGGAGCGACATGGCTTTCCAGGTGGTCTGGCTGCCGCCCCTGAACACCCCCAGTGCTGACTCCACCCGGGAACTCCCCTAGGGCACTGGTCAACGACCCTACTCATTTAGCATCAACCAAAGGTAGGATCTAAATGTTCCAACTGAACAGATCTCAGAGAACACGCAGCCCGTTTGTCAAATGAGAACGTCCAGAGATGGGAAGGCACTGGCTCCAAGCCAAATGACAGGAGACCCCAGAAGTAGAGCCAGAGCTACTGCCTTTTCACCAGTGATCCTCCCGATGTACCCCAAGTATTTATTATCCCATCATGTGTATCCCGCAGCTGGTACTTTATGTTTTAGACAGCACATTCATATCCATTTGTCCCAGTCATTGCATATGGGCCTGAAAGGAATTATTTGGGCCATTTTATTTTATTTTATTTATTTATTTTTTTTTTTTCCAGTACAGGGAATCAAACTCATGACCTTGCACTTGCCAGGCAGGCACTGTGCCACTGAGCTAAATCCCCAGCCCCTTGGGCCATTTTATCTTTGGGAAAAATAATCATTTTCTAGGTGGGGGTGACAAACACTGAGTTAAGAACATGCCTAGTTGGCTGGGCATGGTGGTACACCCTGTAATCCCAGCACTCAGGAGGCTGGGGCAGGAGGACCACCGTGAATTCGAGGCCAGCCTAGGCTACATATTGAACTCAAGGGCCAGCCTGAATTGCACAGTGAGACCCTGTCTCAAAAACAAAACAAAACAAAAAAAAAACAGAATGTGCCCAGTAAGTCCAGTCTTCAGACTTCCAGTCTTTTCATTAGACCCTGTAGCCTCTACCACCTGGTGTGTGCCCTTCTTCCCACCACACACACTCATGACTCCTTAGAAAGCAACATGTACTGGAAATTACCTTAGGCCAAGGGAAGGAGCTATATGTTTTATAGACATATATCAAAGTCTCATCCTGGGAGGTAGGTGTTTACACCCCCATTTTGTAGGAAAGGAAACTGAGGCTCAGAAAGAAGTATCAAGCTGCTTGCACAAATAAATGGTGGAGACAGCCAAGCTCACATCTGTCTGACATCAAAGGCAACCACGTACCTTAAGTCATACAGGAAATACCCAGACCCTCACCCAGAGTCTGGCATGTGACAGGTGCTCACCAGGGTTAGCATTAGGGTTTGCAGATGAGTAAAGAGAAGCTGCACTGTGTTTAGACCCAACACGTGTCAGGGGGCCAGGTTCAGAAGGAGCTCTGCGGGCGAGTCTCACGGATACAGCAAGATGCTAGCGCCACGCAGATGTCCCTAGTGACAAGGGAACACAGCCTGCTATTGCTCTCGTGTCTCTGAGTGTGGGGCATTAGCGCACTGCCCCTGACCCCACAGTGGCTGGCTGCCCCTGCCCTGCGGCCTTTGTTACTGTTTACGTGGCTTTCTTTGTACATAAAGCTCTTCTTCCCTGGGAGCTCCCTGAGGGCAGAGGCTGAGCAGGATACATCTGGGCCCTGATGCCAGCTCAGGGTCTGGGCCACAGCAGGCACTGTTCAGCAGCCCCTGAATTGAAGCATTTATGTGTGCAGGGGGAGGGCCCTTTGGGGAGAGCTACAAAGAGGCATCTATAAGGCAGCCTCTGCCAGATGTCCAGCTGCTTGCCCTTCTCCGAGGGGTCTGCTCTTCTAAGAACAGTCTCTTAAAATGCCCTGTGGCTTAAAACGGCAAAATGCTGTAGAAGAAAAAACTGTGCACTGACCCTTAATGTCTTATCCCTAGTGGCGACACCTTCAACAAGCCCTCACCCTCACTGCCATATGCAGTTGTGTGTGGCCTCTTCCCACTGAGGTCCCCTCACAGCCCAGTCGGGTTCTTTTGCCATTCTATCCAGAGTCTCTGTGTGACCTGGGAGTTACTCACTGCCCAGGCTGCAAACCGGTGGAGACAGAAGCCAGCTCTGATCGACTCAGTTCTCTGGCATTGATTTTGTGCCTTTGATCCATGAGGGCCAGATGACGCTGAACTCGGGGCCTCCTCCTCCATACCACCACGTGGTGCTGGGCCCTTCTCTTGCTAGAGGGCACAGGCTCAGAGATTTGTTTCTCTCAATGGCAGTCTCTGCTAAACAATTTTTAAAAAGATTTATCTCCTGCCAGGTGTGGTGGTGCATGCCTGTAATCCCAGCACTCAGGAGGATGAGGCAGGAGAATAAGTGAGTTCAAGTGATTGGGCTACACAATGAGTTCAAGGCCAGCCTCCTAAACTACATGGTACATGATGAGACCCTGTCTCAAAAAAAGGTTTATCTGGTGGTAAGACATTATATTATACACCCCAAAACCTAATGTACAAGATGTAAGAGGAATACCTATTGCCCTATTCCCCATGATAAACTACAAATAATTGGTAGTTGGTGACATTTTATTTGGAATTTATTTATTTGTGGTGCAGGGGATCAAAACCAAAGCCCTGTGCTTGGCAAGCGCTCTGCCATTGAGCTATATCCCCAGAGAGGACCTGTGACTGAACCAGGATCTCCTGATCTCAGAAAACTGGAGACCATTGCGATCATAAAGTGCCCTTTGAAAACATCCAATTCTGTTCTGGAGAGTTAGATTTGAATGAGGCAAGGGAGATGAGGCAGTGTTCCCCTTCCTACACCCATGCTCTTCTATTTTATTGATAAGGAGACAGACTCAGAATCCAGTGGCTCAAGGCTACGTGGTGGTACAACACTTGTTTAGCACGTGTGAGGCCCTGGATTCCATCCTTAGCACCAGAAAGGAGGAGGAGGGAGAAGAGGAGGAGGAAACAGAAGGAAGGAAAGCTGGCTATATATATGAGGAGTTGGCACGAGTCGGGCTGGAATTCACACCTGCAGACAGACTCCCAGCCAGTCCCTGCCCTCTTAAAGCATTTGCTAAGCCCTTGACATTCATTCTTTCATTTGATTTCCCTTAGGAAGTCAGTTCTATTGTTCATACCCAGTGGGCAGATGAGAAAACTGATGCTTAGTGTTCACAGAGCTGGGGGGTAGCAGAACTGTACTTGCCCAGTTTGTTGTACAGGTTTGAAGGAGGTCTGAATATTTACCAAGAGCTGAAGGACACTGGCAACAAAGTTGTTTTGGAAGACAGAGCACTGGAATTGGAGTCTAGGCCCTTACAAGTTAGTACTGACTTCATCCACCTTTTTATTTTTGGTACTAGGAATTGAACTCAGGACCTTGCCCTTGGCAGGCAGGCGCTTGTGCCACTGCGCTATATCCCCGGCCCAGTATTGACTTGAATACCCAAACTCTACTTCCAAAGTCCAGTTTTCTCAGAAGAGGAGAGGTTTCCTTTCCTGTGAAGTTTTTTGTGGACTACATGAAAGCTGCACCTGAACTAAGGTAAAATAAGGGAAGTGCGGTTATTCGGCGTCCTAGGCAGATTCGGGACGGAGCATGTGGCACCAACAACCTATGGGGGTTTCCTAAGGTCTTCAGGAAAACTCTCCAGAGACCTTCCTGCGGGGAGGGCGTCAACAGAAAGACCATCACCAACCGGTCATCCGACCCCGGAGCTGAACTCTGCCTTCCCTCAATATCCGCAACCCTACACCGGGGAGAGCACAGGGAATCCCGCGGTCGTGCAACGCGACACGCCGCGCACGCCCCGCACGCCCACCGGCACCTGCGAGCTGCCTGCCGCGCACCTGCCCCTTCCGAGGCCGGGCCGAGCCCCGCAGCGGCCTCGCTCGCGAGCCAGTCGAGGCGCGCCCCACCCCGGCCTTACCTCAGGTCGCCCTCGCTGCCCAAGTCGATGAGTCCGTCGGACTCGCCGTCCGAGCCGCCCTGCTCCCTAGGCCGCTTCATGGCGCGCGCAGGCGGCCGAGATCTGCGGCCGCCGTCGGCTCTCAGTCTGCCCGCCCCGCTTCGTCCCGCCCGGCCCCGGTCGCGGCCCCGCCCCGGGGCTCAGACATCGCCCTTTCCCAGGGCCCTTCCTGCGCCGCCGCCCCCGGCGCCCCGGCGCCCCCTCGCCCCCGCGGTGACGCGCCACCGAGCCGTGGGAAGGCCCCGGGCGGTCACCGCCCCCACCGACGGCTGGGAGGTCCTGCTCTGCCGCGGCCTTGCACGCTGGGTGGCCTTGGGCAGGTGCCCTGGGAGGTCCCACGGGGAGGCAGGGGTGTCCCGATCTGTCCCTCCTGCCCCTCGGCGCTGCCGGCTGGTGGAACCGC